CAGGAAGGCGAAGAACTGGAGGATGAGGAAGAGGAGGAAGGCGAAGAACTGGAGGATGAGGAAGAAGAGGAGGGGGAGGAGGAAGAGGCCAAAGGAGATGAAGAGCAGGAAGGCGAAGAACTGGAGGATGAGGAAGAGGAGGAAGGCGAAGAACTGGAGGATGAGGAAGAGGAGGAGGATGATGAAGTTTCTCCTGAACCCATTTCCACTTCTGAGGATGAAGAGTCGGCTGTATCTCCTGATTCTGAGTCCGATGTCCCTGTTGGGGTGACAGACAGTGACGAAGAGGTAACTTTACCCGATGAAGATGATGAAAAAGACAAAGAAGAACAGGATGAAGATGAAACCAGTGACGATCAACTTCTTTCCAGTGAAGAGGAAGAGGGAGAGGACGAGCTGGAGGATGATGAAGAAGATGATGAAGATGATAGACTAGCTGAGGGTGTTACTGATAGTGATGATGTCATTGCAGAAGACACTAGCGATGACCTGGATCTTCCTCCTATTGTAGCTGGTAGTGAGGATGAGGAAGATATTGATCACAAACTGGCAGAGGAAGAAGATGAAGATGAAGAAGATCTTTCTCCACTTCCTGCTGAAGATGAAGACTTGGAAGAAGACATAAAAACTGTAGAAGACACAGACGAGGAGGAAGATGATGAGGAGCTGGACCAATCAGACGAGGACATCTCTGTTGCATCCTCCGAACACTTTGCAGATGATGAAGATGATGAAGATGATGAAGAAGACCTTAAAGATGATGACCTTGACCTGGACTTTGACAAAGATATCCTTGAAGACCTTAAACACAAAGATGCTCAAGACAAACCTGATGTCACTGAAGAGGGCATCCTTGATGATGACAAAGAGGAAGAGGAGGAGGAAGCTGGCATTCCTCCCTTTACGAGCACAGACAGCGGCGTCTTAGGTGATGAAGATGATGAGGATGACATTTCCTTTGAAACGGATGAGGACTCCACTGGAGAAACAATTCTGAGTGACTCTTATGACACAACTGATGATAAGGATGTTGATACAAGCTCTTTAGATGAGGAGGATGAAGAAGATGAGGATGAAGATGAAGAAGATGATGGTGTTAGTGAAATCTTGATGGCAGGTATTGTACAACTTTATTTTTTTCATTTAGTTCTTATAAACACAAGAAGGATGGACAAAAATGAGCTAGAAGCAGCACAGGAAAGGTGATTTTTCATATTTCATGCTCTAAATACACAGGTGTCATAGTATATTGTGTTCTGTGTTTTTACAGCTGCTGCTGCAGGAACATTAACTGTCCAGGAGGAGGCAGCAAAGACTGATGAAGACCATGAAGAAGGGGATGAGCTCGAAGAGGCTGAAGATGAAGGAAAGACTGAAGACGCAGAAACAAAAGAAACAGGTTTGTATCAGACAGCTGTTGTGGTGCAAAGGATTCATAAATGTGTTCAGTATTGTTTCTAAAACCTGTTAATGTGCAATGATAGTAGGAATAGAAGGCAACGCTAATAATAATAATTTAAAAAGGTAGCATCTTATTAAAGGAGATGCAAATAAAACAAATAATAAGCAACAACAACATATTTATCAAAGAGTGGGCAGTATGTCAGGTGTGACTGTGAAATCTGTGACTTCGCACTGCCACCTACAGGTCAGTCAAACTTAGAGAAACATCAGATAAACTGGATTCAAAAGCATCAAAGCTATGTGTGTCATATTGGTTATATGGCCAGTAAATTTATAAGAAGTTTTGTTCATTAATTTTTCAAATTCTTTTGCAATTATCTCTACAAATATTGTTAATAGTATACCTTTTGTAGGCAGTAAAAAGCATCTATTTTATTTAAATGTTTTACCATTATACATTTATTTCTGCCCTAAGCAGGCAACACTATCAGTGCTTGTCCACCTTAAAAAATATGCAAGAGTGGAAAGATTGAGAGGCCAATTTACAGCTTATAAAATATAAGCTGTAAATGTCATTGGAATCTCTGTAGAAGGTGGTAAGTTTAAATTGACTGTAGCTTATTTTATTTCATCATACATATTGTTCCTGAAAGTCAAGAGTTTATCCTGCTCAAATTTCTTTAATTGCTTTGTTGCCCTTAACAGAGTAGAAAACCTCAAATCCTTTCGTTTTTTCCTTGTTGTG